AAGGGGTACAAAGGGGTGTCTGGGTGGGACGCGCCGGCAGCCCATCCAGGAAGAAGAGCACGAAGTCCTTGCGAGAAGACCTGCACGGAAGCATCTCGCGCGTGTACTTCGCCTTGCCCGCCGTGTCGCCGGGCGCAGCGTAGTCCTCGTCGCCGTCCCGGGCTTCTGCGCCGCCTGCTGAGATCCGGGGAGACCCCCCCCCCCCCCCCCGCCCGCCCTGCTGTGCTGCTGCTGCTGCTGTTTGTTACCTCCGGTCCACACGGGTACTCCCGTGTTTGGACAACAAGGCCCCACGGTACACGGCGTCTCCACACTAGGCGAGTCACACATGTGTCGTGATTGGGATCAAAGCGCTGACGGAGAGTCATGAATGATTTTTTTTTCAGACGATACAGGCGTGCGCTCCGTTTTCTTGTTTCTGGCGGCATGAGTGTGCGGCCGCTCACGGGGACCGAGCAACTGTGTCAGCCACACCGACGGCGCCCGCCGCAATAACAGCTCTTCCCCACGCGTCTGAGTGAGCTCATCGCGCCAGGCAGCCATGATCCAGGCCGAGAAGCACGAGAGCGGCAACGCCATGAAGACGCTTCTCGTTGTCACCGCCGCTTTCGGTGCCCGCACCTGAACCACCATGCTGAGCATTCCATCCCCTGATCCTTTCCCCCTGATGCATGCCCGCCGGGTGTCCCTCACACTCTCGGGGTGGCAGCGACCACCTGCTCAGGGTACCTCCTTGCCCTCGGTTTCCACCCCCAAACACTTTCCTCTCGCATGCGAACGCTTGTGGACGATGCTACCGGTTGCCACACCCAAACCGCGCCTGCCTACGCAGGCGGGGCGATGGTCGGCACGCTCGCCATCAACACCATGGCACCGCCGGCGGCGCTCAAGGAGGTCCACCCGGCCGCAAAGATGCAAACGTTCAGGAAGGTGCGCCTCGCACCTCCGCCAGCTCGTTGAGGCGACCGCGTATTGGAGAGGTGTCCCGACCCGCCACGAACAAATGCAGGTGGAGGCGGAGAAGATGAAGACGTGGCTCTCGACGACGACCCTGTCTGCGGAGGACCAAGAGAAGGTGGTGAAGGCGGCGGAGGCAGGTGGGCACTTTGAGACCCTTCGAATCGCGAGAGACCCCACAACGTATCACATAAACGCACAACCCCGGGACGTATCCACACTGCTGCGACTGGCCCAGGATCCTAGCCCCAATGCCCTGCTGCGACTGCCAGCGCCCTCCTCCATCCGACCCCCCCCCCCCCCCTGGGCAGCTTACCCCAAGGAGAAGCAGTGGATGTTCCCGCTCGACTACTCATTCTGCGATACGTACAAACTCACCATGCTTCCTGGGCAGGTCGACGACTTCCTGGGCATGTCGTTCCCGATCAAGAATGCCCTCTGCGAGTCGAAAGCCTGCCGCCTAGAAGCGCGAGGGTCCGACAAACCCTCGCGCTGAACGTAATAGTTTGGTGACGATTGAGTCACGGTTGCCCCGGTGGGTTGGGTTTGTCGGTCCCTCTCCTCGCGTTGTTGTCGGATAATCTACATAGCCGCTGCGCGGCTATCTCCGAGTACGCGACGGGTCGGCGGCCCTGGAGGGAGAGGGCCGGCGGCGAAACAGCTCGAAGATGGAAGAAAGGGAGGGGGGCCGGCGTAAAAAGCCGTAGGTGAGCAGGTCGGACGGGATCTGGTACTGGATGAAGAGGTCAAGCAGGGGGTTGCCTAACGTTAATTTGGGGCCTAACAGTTGCGCTATTGTTGGCTGAAATCCTCAACGTTGTTCAAGTGTTCAGAGTTCACCCCGCAGCCCATGCTGTTACTGTTTGTTACTGTTGTTGCTGTTGTTCAGCGGCCAGCAAGCAGAAAGTGGCAAAAAACCCGGGTAAAACCCGGAAAAAAATTGAATATTCTTATCTTCTGCCTTGCCTCCGACGCTAGAGACAGTCACCACGGATACATACGTCCGTGGGAGTGCCCCCCTCCCCCACCTGCCCTGCTTACACAGATAACATGCCCCGAGAACGGCGACATTTGGCGGGGGGAACCAGGGAAGGAGGTTCGGGTTAGTCTTTCTTTTGTCCTCTCGGGGGAATGTTCTCTCGGCGCCCATGGCCTTCTGAGGTTTCGTACTAATGACGTTCTTCTTGGCACTTCGGGCGTCGGTGTGTGCGTATCTGTGGTGTCTAATTCCTCCGGTATGCTATATAGGTTTCCCGAACAGAGATCTCCTTTTGAAAGGAAGAGTATCTTGCTGGAAGCCTTCCCGCTGGCGGGAGGTCCCCAGTTCGAAACCTGGTCGACCCTTATATTTTTTGTTCACACCTGAGCGGGCTCAATTTTGCTCAGATGCTCCTACGAATACGAACTCGAGTCCTCACGCTTAGGGCTTGGTGTGTGTTCGTTATTACCCGCACAGGGCACTGGAGATCGTCGTGGGGTGTGGGACCTTTTCTTTGAAAAGTTCGCCCTCCGCATGGAGAGACGCCCCGGCCACAATCATCGCCCTCCGGGCAGAACCACAAACTCTCACACACGCCAACACACGCGCGCCCGGCGCCCCTCATGCCCTTCTCCACGCACACCGCGTGAAAACCACGCGTACGTCCCGCGCGCACGCAAACACACGCGCAGCGCCCAGAAACCTGTGTCATGGGCGTAAGCCCTGTGCTGGCACCCCATGGCCGTCCCGCGCCGCCCGCACCAGCCACGCGCCTCTCGCACCATCAGAGCTAGCCGCACGACCACTCACGCCGCGACGCGCGCGCCGCAGTGAACCTCACTGACAGTCCACGCCTTCTGCCAGGCGCCTGCACACTGCTTCAGGCACCATGTCCTACCAGAGCGCGCCGCGCCCGGCACGACGCAGCTCCACCGCGCGAGGCGCGCGCGGCGGCACGCCGCGCGCGGCGGCCGCCGCGCACGCGCCCCGCCACCCGACCAGATCTGCTGCACAGCCTGCCAGCAGGCTGTGCAGCAGACCTGCTGGACACTCAGCACATACGCACGCTCGCGCCGCCCGCCCACTACACGCGGCTGACCGCTGACTGCACCCCGCGACAGCGCCCCGTTCCACCAGGCTAGGCGCGCTGGCACGCCGCGCGCGCTCCCAGCAAGATCTTGAAATGCAAAAAGTCAACTCAGCGTTCTGAGTTGAAAAATGCAATCTGAATTGATTTTTTTGCAACTCAAGTGTCAAGATTCCCTCTGCATCTCAAATTGCGGGGTTTCCACACCCTGACCCTGACGGTTGATGACAACACTTGTGGTTGTCCTACGGTTGTGCAACTGAGACGCAGGCGTCAGGGTCCTACCCCTTTATGCTATTAGTACACCTAGGGACCGCGTGGGGTGGGCGGCGAGCCGCGCATTGGCTGACAATGTGCCGGTTTACCAGGGCGCAGGGCCCAGTCGCGCGAGCCCCGCGCGACCCCGCCAACCCGTCTATGTAAACCGAGCGCGACGGAATTACTAGCGCCGCCTCCAGTCGTTCCTCCTGTACTTGTAGCACGTGACCCCGCTCTCAGAGGAGCCACCTTCGTTCCGGTGGCAGAGCGGCGTCACGCGGAAGCCGCCGGCCTCCGTGTACTCGAGCTTGATGTTGTAGCGCATCGAGCCCATAAAGGCCGCCACGTCCGCCTCGTGCTCGGCCCTGGACTCGGGCGTGGCGTGCTGCCCGCCCGGGTGCTGCGCGTGCTGCAGGAGAAGGGAGTGCCGGAGCACGGCGTACCAGTAGCAGCTTATCGCACCTTGGCCCAGCTGCTCGGCGGCAAAGCGCTGCCCGGCGGCGGCGATGCGCGCCGCCGCTGCCTCGCCCTCGGCGCTCTCGTAGTAGGCGAGCTTTGCCCGCAGATCTGGCAGCAACTTTGTGCGAAAGTCGCGCGTGATAAGATCTTCATTCTTGCTCCATATCTTGGAGAGCCGGATCGGCACGTGCGTCTTGTGGGCCTGCAGCGCTGGGTAGTAGAACTCCTCGCAGGAGGAGTCGATCAGCAGCACAAGCGAGCCGCAAGCGAGCTTGTACTTGAGCGACGCCGAGTAAGCGTTGCCCTCGAGATGCAGCAGGTAGCGCGAGCGGCATTGCTCCGTCAGGTTGAGGCGATACGCGCGCTTGCGGGCGCCGCAGCACGTGTCCTGCACGTCTAGTGGCACGGCCGTCTCGTTTCGCGCACATGCCACCAGGTTCGGCACGAGCGCGCGCCTCACCCGCGAGCCCGAGACGGTGCCGCGAAAGGTGAGGCGGCGCTGTCGCAGCCTCCACGCCTGCCTGCCTTCGGCACCCTGTCTCAAGCGGCGCGAGATGGCAGCCCAGCTGGTGTTAGGCTCGCGGCCGCTCAGCTTGCCGTACGAATGGAAAGTGAAGTCTGGCACCGGGATCTCGGCTTGCGTCCGCTGGCCGCACATTGTGAAATGCGGCAGCCGGTGCTTGTTCCGCCTCTCTCTGCGGCGGCCGAGTATGGGGAAGTCGAGCATTGTCCAAAAGAGGTGGACTGGTTCGCTCAGTCGCGGGAGCAGATCCGCCTGGTGACGTGCCATCGCGGCTAGGGCTGGTGCCGCGAGCCCCTCCATCGACTTGGCGCCGCCAGCCCAAAGGAGAAGCGCTGTCGGCGTGGAGCCGTTGTAGTACAGCGAGGCGAGGCCCTTGAATTTCTTCTCCGCAGGGCCGTGCGCCGCAAACGACTCGTTGAGCAGGTCAAAGGTGCGCTGGCGCGGACCCGCACGCATCGTCTCCATGGCCCAGTTGTGGTGGAACTCGAACCGTCTTTCGACCGACGGCATAATCCATGGGTGAAGAGCATTGCAGCGCTCCTCCATGTCCGAGGGTGTCGCAAAGAGCCGGGAGAGGCTCTCCGCATACTGCGCCGCCGCACCATCAGCAAGCCTACTTGGCCCGCCAAGGTCGGACAGCGCGGCCTTCCGGGTTGTTTGCGGTAGCAGATGACGCGAAACAGGCATGTGTATCGAAGCCAAAGACCCTGCACGGCGGTTTACCTCGCTGAAGACCTCGCTGAAGGCGGTCTGTTTCATAAAATTTCAGGGCGCCGCGTTGCCCCGAATTCTTTCCGCAAGCTGCCACGCCTGAGCCTCCTCATCAGCGCTCGAGTTAAACACACGAATCGGAACGCCGGAAACGCCCGGGAGTAGGCGTACCGCAAATCCAGATGCAGCCTGCGTCTTCGGATGTTCGGAACCTTCACCAGACGGCCACCCAGGATCGATCGGGTGTTTGGCGACCACGTTTTGAACGGCTGTTGTCAGGGCATTCACATCACAAGCTGCGCCCGTGTAGATGTTTGCGATGGCAATCCCAGGCCACTCCATCATGGTTGCGTCATACTCGGCCAAGTTGATGTAGCCTTCGGGGTTGCCAGTTTCGTCTATCAGGGGCTGCTTCATGCTTGTATCGGCCATCGGCAAGAGACCGACGATGAAGACGCGCGACCGTGCACAGCTTGTCAACGAAGCAAACACTTAGTCTTCGGAAGATGAGCGCGCGCGACACAGCGCAGACCAGGTCTATCCACACTCACGGAGTGGTCCTGTGGTGGGGATCGGAGTGGTCTGACCGTGTGGAATGGTCCTGGTCGAGGCCCTCTGTAGCATCGTGAGGCGTCCCTCTTCTCTCGCTCGAGAGATGGTCATCTGAACCCGAATCCTCGGTGTCCAGCAAGTGGAGTTCTAGTCGTACGCGGTCCTTCCGCGGTTTGGTCGCGGGAGATAGGTTGCCCGCAGTGCCGCGGGCCTCCTCAGCCGAGGAAGACATATTTATAGAGAGTACTCAAAGTACGAAGGCGTAGTTATACACCGGTGGGGGAGTGGCGCAATTATGCACCGAGTTGTGACACCACAACAGCAAAGAGGTCGACTGTCTCGCAGCGCGGCGGCCCAGCGAAAGCAGTCAGAGACTATGACGTGCCAAACTTGCACAACGGGAGTTGGGGAAGCGTGACGTGCCACTATTTGGGCATGGGAATCCGGGGACATGGGAATACGGCGGACTATTTATCACTCTGGAATGGGAGAGAGAGAGAGAGAGAGAGAGAGAGAGAGAGGGAGAGAGAGAGAGAGAAGGAAGAATAATAGGTGAAGCTTCTCGATACAGGTCAGGCTACTGGTCCTCGTGAGAGTCCTCGTGCCTCACCTCCTGCGACAGGTCCACCCTCAGCCTGCGGCGCGATAGCAGACAGCAGCACAGGGAATTCCACAACGCGGACCCAAACTATCGTTTATAACCACTTCGTACAATTAATAATGAGGTGCATGTCGCATCACACACTGTGCGCTGCCGATTTGGTTTCTCTAAAGATACACACGCACCGACCGCGCGTCCGCTCGGCAGTGCGTCGCTCTGCAGGCCCTACCAACAACATACCTACCATCTATCTCCTGCCACCCCGTGCGCCCCTGCAAGCAGATACGTTGTTTCCTGCGTTCACTCGTGCACACAAGAAAGAACCAGAAAAAGAAATTCCGGCGCAGCGCACGCCTTCTTCCCACCGCGCAGGCATCATGGAGCCAGACTACAATGCGGCAAACGATCTCGTCAAACGCGTGATGGCTGGTCTCGGCAAGTTCGAGCACCCCAGTACGCGCCTGCTGGCGGATGCTGCCTGGCTTGCGACAGCCAGGGCGGGAGCTGCGCAAGCTCGGCTACCGCTGCAGCTGACGTTGCAAACACTCACTGGACGTGCGATTCAGGTCGAGGCACATGGAAACTGGAGCACGCTCGACCTGTTCAACGCGATCTCAGTCCAGGAAGGCATCCCAGTTGACCAACTGCGCTTGCTGCACGCCAACACCGACAGGCAACTGAGTCTCCACGACGCTCACGACCTACATGGGCAGGGCATCACAAACGACGCCGTCCTCACGCTAGTGCTTCGGCTGCGTGGTGGCTGCTACCGCACGGGGTTTCCTTTCCAGATCTTGGTGACGCCTGGCATCGACGCAACAGAGGTGGACTGCCGGCAACGGGAGATTGTCATCGACGTGGACATGCGCCCTGCGATCGCCCTTGCGCATCGTGAGGAGCAGCGGCTAGCTTCGCATCCGCCCTTCCCTGGGTTCAGGGGCCCGTATAATCTCGAACGCACGGCCCTTGAGCATCTGGATACGCTAGCATTGTTTCGCATCGGGCTCACGTGCATTCGGCGCACGCTCACCCGCCGAGAGGGCACCGAGGTGCACCGCTGGGACTACGACTGCATCATGGTGCTCGCGCTCGTGCTTCGGCAGTACGAGGTGCCTGCGGATATCTGCCGGCGCATCATTGACGCCGTGGTGCTGCCGCCGGAGGAGTGGGAGTCGGGCGAGCAGGTAGCGCTGCAGCAGCGGTTCGAAATGGCCGCGCTAGAGCGGGGAACTTTGAGACTTCGCGCCTCTGCTCCTCAACCGAGGACTCTAGCGCCCCCTGTTCCTTTGCTCCAGCCGCACCGGCACTACCGAGTTGACCTGCTCGACTCCTCAAATTGCGCTGAGCGCTTCTTCGTCCAGCCCTTCCCGCGGCGAGAGACAGGTTCGACAGCCGGGGTCAATCTCCAGTCCAGCCTCAGGTCTATCGCGAGTCGATCGTGGCACTTCCGGACTGGACGGAGCTCCGCCACGGAAGTGCTCCACCACATGCTGCCGGCACTTCGGGTCGGTGCGACAGCCAGAAACTCCACCGCGATCCCGCTGACGCACGAAATCGGCTTCTAGCCATGCCAGCGCGTGTGTCTATACACTACTTAGAGAACAAGTACAAGTACAGGCGCGGACTGGCACGCGAGAAAAGGAACATCTTCACCACACACAGCAGCCGGTCCACATGACGCGCGCTAGGGCTGTTGCTTGCGCTCGGTCTCAAACGCGTGCACGTCGTCGCCGGACATGCCCGCCTTGCTGCGCTTCCAGGAGGCCCCGCGCCGGCGTTTGCGCCAGCGTTTGCGACGAAGCGCTTGGTGCCCGAGAGCGCCGCGATGCTGCGCGGCGCCGCCTCGAGGGCGTCGAAGCGCCGGTACTTGAAGTCGGTGCCGAAGAAGTCCGCAACCTTGTAATCGTCGCCAGAGCCCTCGATGGCGCCCTCGGCTTGCGCCTCGGTAGTGATCTCGTTGGCCTTGAACGCGTTCTGGCGCCACCAGAGCTCGCGGTCTGCGGCGCGGTGGAGCCGCGTGTCAATGCGAGGTCTCTGAGGGCGCGCGCGCGGCGCTGCGGCAGTCGGGGGAGGGAGGGCCCCGGGCGCCCACGCACATCGGTCCTTCTTGCCGTCGACCGCGATGTCGTCGCCGTCAAAGGACTGGCCCACCAGGCCGTGCGGCGCCACCACCTTGCCCGTCTTGGGGTTGGGCGCGAGCGGGTCGCGCAGCGGCGAAAACGAGAGGTCGACCTGCTTCTTGCCGCTCGTGGCGGAGCGCTGGATGAGGCGCGCGGTCGCATCAATGGCCCAGCCGGCGGTGCGCACGTGCAGGACCTCAGTGTTGTCGTTTTGCGTCACGGCGATGGAGAGGTCTTCCACCACGAGGGGCGGCTGGCCGGGCAGCACTCGCCTCGTGCCGCCCTCGAGGCCGTGGACGATCGGCGTGGGCGGCATGTTGGGCGTAAACTCGATGCGGACGGTCCGGCCGGTGGCCTCGGTGACGGCCTTGATGAAGACGTCCGTGACGAACGTGCCGCGCACCTTGAGGACCAGGTCCGAGAGGAAGAAGGCGCACGCCTGTATAACCAACTCTCAGGGGCAGTAGGTGGGCGAGCCTCGAGCGCGCTCATCTCGATCGTCAAGGCGTCGCTACGCGCGGTCTTCCGCGGGGGGAGCTTCGTCGACGGGTGCGGGATCGCGGCGCAGTCAGTGCCGTGGCGATGCCTCCGGCTGTTGCGGCGGGCGGCTTGCTGCTCGCGGCGATGGCGAAAAACTCGTCTCGCCGCACACCAAGGGCTTATGCTCTGGCGAGATGTGAGGCGCATGCGCCCGGGGGGAGGGCGCATGCGTAACGACGCTGCTAGAGATGCCTTTCGGGGCCCAGAGATAAAACTTCTGACCTAGTAGCATCCACCAGCCCAGATCCACCTGGCCCAGACATTTTTTTCTCAGCTCTTCTGTCTGGGAGTGTGCTGAGGTCTTGAGCACTTGAGCACTGGATAGGGTCGATTCCGCATGGTACGGGACCCCTCGATCGTCTCGCCCTCCCTCGCTGGTGTGTTCATTGGGGGAGGGGTCAAAACAAACACGGTACAGGATCGAGGTGCACGCTGCTGAAGCACTGTCGTCCCCCCTCTCCATCGTCTCACTTGGGAGACGTCGGCGATGATGGCGGTGTGACCGATCGAGCTACAACCTACATACACATACAAACCCTCGGCACATCCAGGGAGAGAGATTTTCAGCAATACCTTAAAGACAATACCAAACAACTCAACACTCACACGTCATTTGCATCCAGGGCCGGGGGAGCTACGAGACCGCCCGGGTACGAATGAGGCATGGCCATGTGGAACCCGAACTTGAGGATCTGAACCTGCAAACCCATTCCGCGCCAAACCACCTTGAACCCTCCCCGAAGGTGCAATGGGAGTGAACCCGAGTGAAACTAGTGGAAAGCACGCGCGTCCACTTCATAGGTGTGTTAAGAGAGCCTGAAGCATGAGCACGGGCCTGTGCGCCACCGGCTTGCGGCTCCGTGATGTCTGCTGCGACTCCTCCAACGTCTCCGCCTGCGACGCCGCTGCAATCCACCGGTCTGCGCGCCCGTGCCTGGCCTCGAGAGACGTGGGTTGCCTCCTCCAGCCAGACCGGACCAGAGCCGCAGCCATCTTGTGCTACTGGCATCGGACTCTGCAGGCCGGGGGAGTAGGCTGCCCCACGCCTCCGTGGACCTCTGCCGCCGCCGCCAAGTGTGTCGATGACGCAATCTGGTATGATGCCGAGAAGTCTAAGACAACAGTCAGCTGGGCGAGGGCATCCATCCTGCAGAGCTGCACCGGAATCGGCGCCGTTGACTACCGTGCCTCGCAGCCGTCGACCGTGGCGGTGCCTCGTGTGCGTGCAGAGGCGCTGGCGCCACATGCCCAGTGCCCGGTGCGCAGAGGCGAGAGGTTGCCCGAGGTCTGGATGGCGCTGATCCTGCACGTGGAGGCGGACTGGCAGGGTTCCCGCCTTCGCTACTGGGTGGCCTGGCACTTGGCTTTGGGCGCGAGCCGCATCCTCGTCTACGACAACGGCAGCAGCAACCCAGAGCTAATCCTGAGCGCGCTGCGCCCGTTCGGCTCGCGGGCCGCCTACGTCTGGTTCCCCGGCGATCGCCGGCAGACTGACGCCTACGACGACGCGCTCCGGAAAGCCGGAGGCGGGGGGCGGGATATCTTTGTGGGATGCCTCGACCTCGACGAGTTTGCGGTCCCCCACCGCGACGGCTGTCTTCCCCGCCTGCTCCAGCCGTGCGCGGCCCGGCCGGATTGCGGAGGGATTCGCCTCAACACGCGGGCAACGTCGGCTCACGGCACCGTTGGAACCCCTCGCGGCTCGCCGCTGCAGGAGGTCGAGTACAGCCTCGGCTCATTCAGACCAGCCTGCTGCTTCGTCAAGAGCTTTGTGCGGCCGGCGACGCACCTGCGGTGGAAGACGCCGCACGCGACGGTGACGAGGAACGGCTCGTGCCTGATGGACGAGCGGCTGAGCTGCCCGGGCACCCCGCCAGGCGCAGGCGTGCCCTTTGTGCGCGAGCCGCTGACTGGCGAGCGGGCCTTTGTGCTGCACGTCCAGTGCGCGACCCTCCTGCAGTGGGTGCTCAAGCGCTCGCTCACGGGCCGGGTGGACGGCGGGAGGTGTCCCGCCTGCGGCAGGCCGCTCCACGTGATTGCGAGCGAGTTTCGGCGCAAATGCGAGGTCAACGAGGAGTCGCCAGCGAATCGCGGCGGCAACGGCTCCATCCCGGAGGCCGCCCGCTGCATGCCGTCCTGGTGGCCCTGCGCAGCGGCTCGGTCAAGTGCGAGCTTCCGTGCGGCCGAGCAGCGCTTTGAGGTGCGGCGTGGGGCGGCGCTCGCCCTGGTGCGGAGGCTCGACGTCCTCGTGACCGGAGGGGGAGAGGGAGGTGTTGTCGTGTGAGAGATCGGAACTGTCCTCTCTCTGCACGACGCCACTCGAGCGACGGCCGACGCCACACCCACACCCCTGCACCGCAGCACCAAGGTCCAAGCCTACTCGAGTACCTCCTGCGTCGGCGCCGTCGCAGACTGACACGGTGAGTGAGGTTTAAAGAGATGAAAGAACGAAAAGAAACGAGGCACCCACACTTGAGGTAACACAGCGACGTATTTTGACGCATTGCGGCATGGCCCGATGTCGCATGTGACGAGAGACCTGGTGCGATTCGCCACTGCGCGCAACCCTGCGGTTTCTCGTTCTCATTCCTGCTTGAAGGCCACCACCTGTGGTCGTGTGTGTACTGGGTGTGCTGGTGCTGGTGTGCTGGCCCAGAGACCTAGCTCCATCCGCACCGCCGCTCACATTCACTAAATGCACACACGCACGATCCACCGCCCGTCATAACCGCCCGCGGAGCCTGCTCGCCGCAGGCAGCAGCAGTGCACGCGACGAGATGGAGCACATGGAGCCGTGCCACTCGTCGCCGCTCGCTTGCTCGCCAATCCACGCATGCACCCCTCCCACTCCCTCTGGCCTGCGCGACGATGGCGGCCTCGCCTCGCCCTCCCACTCCTCACCGAGGGCATGTCGCCGCCGGATGGCGGCGACGCCGCTGCTCTTCACGCCAGCCAACCCTCGAGTGCACGTGACGCCGCCGTCCAACCTGCGCCGCGAGTCGCTCGTAGTGCCCTCGTCGGGCGCGCTCCACCGCATCGGCAAAGGCTCCGGCGTCACCGTCTACCGGATGATGCGCTCGCCCGGCCCATCGGGCCAGCCGCGCTCGCCCTGGGTCATCAAAAAGGCGGACACCTCGCCTCTCATCCCGCACGAGCTGCGGCGAGTGGAGCAGACGCTGCGGGACGAGTCGAACCTCCTCGCGCGCATCACGCACCCCAACATCGTGGGCTTCCGCGCGGCGCAGGTGAGCCGCCGTCACCGCCCATCGCCAACCGCTCTGTCCTGCCGACCGCACTCCAACCCGACCCTCCCGCGCCCACAGCGCGACCCGGACGGCCAGCTGTGCCTCGCGCTCGAGGCGTGCGACTGCTCGCTCTACAGCCTCGTGCAGGAGCGCCAGTTCGCGCGCATACAGTACGGCGAGCACGACCGCTCGCGCCCGCTCTTTTCGCCCGACGAGGTCCTCAGCGTGGGCTGCGCCGTCGCCGGCGCCCTCGCTTACCTTCACACGGAGCACCGGACGCTGCACGGCGACGTCAAGTCGGCCAACGTGCTGCTCAGCTCCGAGGCCTTCCCCGCGCAGCGCCCCTCCCTCGTCAAGCTCTCCTCCGTGAAGCTGTGCGCCGACCCCCCCCGCCCGCCCGCCCGCCCGCCCGCCCGCCTGCCCGCCCGCCCGCCCGTGAGAGAGGAGCCGCCGCCGCTCACGCCGCCGCCGCCCTCCACCTCGCGCCCCGCCCGTGAGAGAGGAGCCGCCGCCGCCCTCGCCCGGCTCGGACCCGCAGCACGCGCGGGCGCAGGTGCGACCTGGGGGTGTCGCTGCCGCTCCGCCCCGACCTGAGCGGCGTGGTCAGCCCGGAGAGGAACCTCTACGAGGGGACCGAGCCCTGGCGGCCGCCAGAGTGCTTCCGGGACGCACGCGACGAGGGCGGAGCGGCCAGCTGGGCGGGCGAGGGGCCAGCAGAGGGGTGGTGCGTCTGCGACCGGTCAGACGTCTTCGCGCTCGGCCTCGTGCTGTGGGAGATGCTCACCGGCGACGTGCCCCACTCGAGCGCGCGGTCGGCGCGCGGGGAGGACGGCTACCGCGCCGCCCTCGGCACCCGCCCCGCCCTCGCGTGGGGCGGGGTTCCGCTAGCGGCCGCACACCCAGAGTACGCCTCGTGCGTGGAGCTCTTCGAGTGGTGCACGGAGCGCGACCCCGCCGACCGCCCGTCGGCGAGCACGCTCGAGCACTGGCTCAAGCTCGCGCGGCAGAGCGGCGAGATGAGCGTAGCGAGGACGATGTGAGACTCTGGACGCCGGAGGCGAGGAGAGCAGCTCTAGAGGAGAGCCGGCGGCGTGGGTGCAGGGGCGCCCCCGCGCAGCGGTGCCTGCCAGTGCGGACTCTCCAGTGAGCAGTGTCTGTGTGTGTCTGTCGACTGTCCACCTCGCGCGCGCGGCCACGTGGGGGCCCGCCGCGCGCGGGTATTTGCACATCCTCAGTCTTTGTTACGCGACGTGACACTCAAATCAAAACAATCGCACAGCCCACATCCCACACGGGGACACGCCCGCCGACGTGTCGCGTCGGTCGCGTCGCCGTACGCCGAGCCTCCCACAAGACCCATCGTCGTGTCGGGTGTCGCGGACGCGGCCCCGGTTCTCAGCTCGCGCGCCGCGTCGACCCCCGGGCAAGCCGCGTCCACCCCGGTCGCGCGCAAACCGATGGCCCATACCCTCACGGTCGCTCCCTCGCATGCACCCACTCGGTCACCACTCGCCTCGTGGCTGACAGCCCCGGCCAAGCCAGCCCGACGCGACCGGAGCGAGAGCGGGGCGACGGCTCGGCGGAGATCGGTACCCCCCCACCCCCCCCACCCCCCCGCCTTGTAGAAACCCTTGTCCGCTCGCCCTGTAGATGTGGCCGGCCCGCGCGCCCTCCTCACATGAGGTCGCTGCCCTGGTCGAACAGGAAGTTTGCCGCCAAGTTCTCGTTCTTGTCGCACGCCAGAAACGCCTGGATGACTATCGCTCGCTGGAAGCCGAGCGCCATGAGCCGCTGGATGGCCTCCTCGTCCTCGTCGTTGAGCTGGGCCTGCACCGCGCCCATCATGCCGCCGCCGCCGCCGCCGCCCATCCCTCCGAGCCCTCCCATCATCGCCGCCATCATCTCGGGCGTCAGGCCGAGCTGCTCCTGCACCTCGGGCGACTGCAGCATCTGCTGCACCTCGGGCGCCTGCAGCAGCTGCTGCAGCGCCTCGGGGTTCTGAAGGAGGCCCTCCAGCATCTCGGGCCGCTGCTGCAGCATCGCCTGCAGCCCGGCCGCCGCCGCCGCGCCGCCGCCGCCGCCGCCGCCGCCGCCGCCGCCGCCGCCGTCCGCGGCGCCAAAGGGAAGGGGGGCGCTGCCTCCGGTCGCGGGGCCGGGGACGGGGGCGGGCGCGGTGCCGTTGAGCACCGCGGCAAACTCGCTCGCGTTGCCCTGGATGAGGGCGAGCTGGTTCGGGTTCGACTCGCGCATCTGCCCGAGGTAGGTTTGCAGCGCCGCTTGCGGCTCGTCGGCGCTCCGCACGGCGGCAACCTCGGCGAGGAAGGCGGGGCTGGCGGCGAGCTCAGCCCAGGTGGAGGGCGCGTCGTCGCCCTCACCCTCGCCCTCGCCCTCGCCCTCGCCGCCCTCGACCTCCATCCCGCTCTCGCCGCCCTCGCCGCCCAGCCCCTCGGGGATGCCGTTCGTCAGGTACTCGACGGCGCGGTCGGCATTCATAAAAGCGGCCCGCATGGCAGCGACGACCTGGTCGCGCGGGAAGCCCATGTCGCAGAGGGACTGGATCGCGGCCGCGTGCTCCGGCGCGAACTCGGCCGGAGCCGCCGCCGCGGCCGGCGCAGGCGCCGGCTCCGCCGCCGGAGCAGCCGCCGGCACTGCGGCCGGCGCAGGCGCCGCCTCGGGCGTCGATGCGGCGGCGGCGGGCGCGGGCGTCGGGGCGGGCGCGGCCGCCGGCCGCTTGGGCTTGGCGGCCATCACGACCATGAAGTCGTTCTCCTTGATCGAGTACGAGGCGAGGTCGCGGCCGCCGTCGAGCACCTTGCCTTGGAAGATGAGCTTGATGCCCTCCGCCTCCCAGCCGTCCTTGGTGCCGTGCTCCGATGCGGCAACCAGCTCCTTGACCCGCGAGACGAGCATGTCGGGCGCGGCGTCGACGTGGAACATGGAGCCCTTGAGCGTCTTGAAGGCGACCTTCATGGCTGGAGAGGCGCCTGGCGCGGGCGCGGGGAGTCTCCTCGATCAAAGGCTCGGGGAGGGCGTCTAAACCGCCCGGCGGGCGAGGAGGAGAAGGCGATGGCGGATCGCGTGGGGAGGGAGGAGGGTTGGCAGGCGGCGGAGAGGGAGGCGGGAGGGGTGGGAGACTCCTACAACGCGGCGGATGAAGCAGGGGGTTGGGGATTGTGGCCGGTGGAGCGGGCGGGGAGAGACGGGCGGCGGAGCGGCCGAGCGGAGGCGGGGTGGGGGGTGAGGGGGTGAGGGGGATGCGGTTGGGAGTGGGATCGGCAGTGGTGGTGACGCGCGGGCGGAATGGGTGTGTGCGTGGGATGGAGCGGGACGCGGGCGGGAGAGGGCAGGACGGGTTGGAGAGGCGTTTGCGGAACAGAGCGCGGGTCGAGGGACACGTTGGTGGTGTGCGAGGCCGCGGCAAGGAGGGAACGGGAGAGGCCTCCTCTCGCGCCGAGCGGTGACACTGGTTGGCTTGCCGGGAGTCGGGAGCGCTCTCGGGCGGGGCCGGGGGAGTGCGCGCCGGGGTAGGTGGCTTCTGGTGCTCGTCTGGATGCCCTTGGGAACGCAGAAAAAGTATTGCATTTAGCCCCACTTGGCCTGTACGAGGGCATGTGCGAGAGACTGCCAGCGACAAGCTGGAGGCAGGTCGCTAGACTGAGAGGAGACCGCCAGTGGATGTGGGAGTCCACCGCGCACCGCGCTGCGAGCCTGTCGTGTCCCTTGTCAGGAGCAGGAGAGCCCCACCTGCCTGTCCCCCTGATCGTCCTTCCAAAATCCTGCTCGTGCAGGTGGGGACCCTGTCCTCGTCCCATCCCTCGTTTGGCGTGTCTGTTTTCTTTCTTTCTTTCTGTACAAGGGTTCCGGCAACCCAGAGGGGAACCAGAGGGTCCCCAGCACTTTGCGTTTCCGGAAGTTTCCCGGGAAACCAGAGGGTGTTTAAAGAAAGTGCCGTTTTCTTTCCTTCTTTACCTAATTGCTAATTGTAAATTGAGATTGCAATGGTCAGCTGCAGATACGCTGAGCAGTGCCCGTGGAATCTCGATTGGCGTTTTGTCGCACGAGGCGACTCCTCTCACACCGCGCGAGGGTTACTGGCCCGCAATGCCGCGGCCGACTCGGCATCGAGGGGGCAGTCGCGGAAGGCTTCGTTGCCGATCGTGGTGAGGCCGTCGGGCAGCGTGACGGCGGTGAGGGCGGAGCAGCGGAAGAAGGCGCCTCTGCCGATCGAGGTGAGGCTGTCCGGCAACGCGACGGCGGTGAGGGACGAGCAGCGGAAGACAGCCGTTGAAGGCGGCGACGCCGATCGAGGTGAGGCTGTCCGGCAGCGTGAGGCTGGTGAGGGCGGAGCAGCCGCCGAAGGCCCTCTCGCTGATCGAGGCGAGGCTGTCCGGCAGCGTGACGGCGGTGAGGTAGTCGCAGCCGTTGAAGGCTTCGTCGCCGATCGCGGTGAGGCTGTCCGGCAGCGTGATGCTCGTAAGGGTGGAGCACTCGTAGAAGGCGCCGCCCTCGAGTGCAATCACGCCGTTGGGTACAAGCGCGTGCCCACCCTCATCTATCGGGTACGCCGGGCCCTCCTCCTCCTCCCCCTCCTCCTCCTCCTCCTCCCCTCCCTCCCACCGCTCCATCTTTTCACGAGCCGCCGCCGCCACCACCTCCGAGTCGCTGTCCTGCACTGCCTGCAGAAACTCGAGCAGCGTCGCAAACGTCCGCGCTACGGCCTCGCCAGTGGGCTCTGGCTCTGCCGTCGAGGCTTGCAGCTTCCGCTCAAGCGCACCAGCGACACAGCGGGCAGTCAATTGTTCGCGACTTGATCATCTTGATGGTGCACAGCTCGCAGAGCGTCGCGTAGCCGCATGGCTGGTTCCGAACGGTGCGAGGGCGGCTCATGCACACGGTGCAGCTCTCGCCGTCCTCGACCTCCATTGGCTCGAAGCGCGCTGCGGACATACCGAGAGAGATGCGAGATGCAGCGAGGTTCCCCGCCCATGCAGGTTGACGAGATATGCCACGCCAGGGAGCGGTGGTCGTTTCCGCAGGCGAAAGGACAAGACGGAATTAAAAATCACCTTCGATTTTCTCGCCGCCACCACTGGGCACTTGGCCTGTACAAGGGTTTCCGGCAACCCAGCAAACCACGACATACACGCGCGGCCACCCCCCTGTGCAAGCTTGCAAAACTCAACGCAAGGCGGATGACCGATGAATGAGGCGCGCTCGCAAAACTCAACGCGCGGAGTTTCCCCCCCATATTATTGAAGGCACAGAATGAGAAAGCCGCGAGTGAATAACACAGTCCTACATGCACATGCACATGCATATGTCCTGGTAGCATATCGCACAACGACGATCAATCACAGTCACAAACAGAAAGAATTTTACAACAAAGCTCCCTCGCACAACACTGACAGACAGAAAGAAAGAAAGCTCGGAAAAAGCCAGCCAGCGCAGCCGCCCATCGATCGCGCTGGCGCTGGCGCTCGCATCGACTCAGATCACCTCCGCCCGTCCGGGACAGAGCTTCGCATTGCACACGTGCACACACCTTCATGCGATTTTCGCCCATGCGCGGGCGCGGGTACCCCCCCCCCCCCCCCTCTCTCTGCCCAGCGAGAGTTAGTTGTCCGGGACTCGAGTCCGGGACGCCTCCTTCTTATACCCTTTGTCTGGGACTCGAGTCCGGGACGAAAAACGCTCGTAATGGCAAGCCAACGCACGAATCAACGGACAACGTTGCAGGCGGCGCTCGAGAAAGTCAATCAAACTCGGCGCCCGTGTCGCGGACCGCCAAGTAGTACTCCGACACACAGTCATCGACGCGAACAACCCCAAGGAACGCCCAGCCCCGCTGGGACAGCCCCGCGCTGCCATCCGCACGCCGATCTCACGACCGTCCAGCCCTGCGCACAGGTATGCTGCTCCTCGCGATTGCCGTGTTGCCCGCGCTGCCGACACCACCGCCACCCACTTGCGTCATGGTCTCGCGCGGGCAGGGCGGCTGTGGTGGCTACCCGTACATGGTCGATGGCTTGACCGGCACCGCTGACGACGCCATCAGCTACTGCCTCGCGAACCCTGCATGCATCAAGGTGCAATGGGACTCGACGGGCAACATCTACCCGAGCGACTCCGACAGTTCGGTGCAGGACCGCGAGCCGAACGGGCACAATGGCTGGATCTGCCGGTTCAAGGAGTGCTCTCCGCCGTCCGCGTCACCATTGTTCCAACAGACACGAGGCTACACCGGACCCTTTGCGGCAGTCCCCGACTTCAACCTTGGAGCCGATGATTTTGTCATCGAAATGGACGTCACGCCTCAGACTCCAGGCATGAACCAACACGGCGGGACTATCATTGGCCGCCATCAGTCAGGCGTTGCACTTGGATGGGCGCTGATTTTGACCAACTCTCTGCACGTTGTCCTGACACTGTACGGCGCCACGGGATACGACATGAGGGCGCCCCCCTGGAAGCCGGCCTGCGTGCAGGACGACGTCACCTTCCTGGGCTGGTGGGGCGGCGAGCTCATGTCCGCTCGCGCTCTCACGGTCGGCCAGAAGCAGCGAGTGGTGTTCTCGCGTCGTGGCCAAGACCTCTCCTTGTACGTGGATGGCAGCGAGAGCTGCAAGGCCAGCCTGGACTCCTACACCGACCCGAGTGGCTTTGTTCCGGTGAGCATCGGCGCGCACTACATCGGCGACCAGCTCACTAAAGCGCCATTCTTTGGCAAGATCGAAAACACCGTCGTCAAGCGCGGGAGTGAAGCATCGTCACCGCCGCCGCTCTCTCCGTCCCCGCCACCGCCGTCCCCGCCACCCCCATCGCCGTCTCCGCCGCCGCCATCCCCGCCTCCGCCATCCCCACCTCCGCGTTCGCCGCCGCCGTCACCGCCACCGCCGTCCCCACCGCCGTCACCGCCACCGCCGTCGTCCCCACCGCCGTCACCACCACCGCCGTCGTCCCCACCGCCGTCACCGCCCCCGCCGCCTCCCTCGCCACCACCGCCGTCGCCACCGCCACCCTCGCCGCCACCCCCCTCGCCGCCGCCGCCCTCGCCGCCACTTCCCTCGCCACCGCCGCCGTCGCCGCCACCTCCCTCGCCACCGCCGCCGTCGCCGCCACCACCATTGTTCCAACAGACACGAGGCTACACCGGACCCTTTGCGGCAGTCCCCGACTTCAACCTTGGAGCCGATGATTTTGTCATCGAAATGGACGTCACGCCTCAGACTCCAGGCATGAACCAACACGGCGGGACTATCATTGGCCGCCATCAGTCAGGCGTTGCACTTGGATGGGCGCTGATTTTGACCAACTCTCTGCACGTTGTCCTGACACTGTACGGCGCCACGGGATACGACATGAGGGCGCCCCCCTGGAAGCCGGCCTGCGTGCAGGACGACGTCACCTTCCTGGGCTGGTGGGGCGGCGAGCTCATGTCCGCTCGCGCTCTCACAGTCGGCCAGAAGCAGCGAGTGGTGTTCTCGCGTCGTGGCCAAGACCTCTCCTTGTACGTGGATGGCAGCGAGAGCTGCAAGGCCAGCCTGGAATCCTACACCGACCCGAGTGGCTTTGTTCCGGTGAGCATCGGCGCGCACTACATCGGCGACCAGCTCACTAAAGCGCCATTCTTTGGCAAGATCGAAAACACCGTCGTCAAGCGCGGGAGTGAAGCATCGTCACCGCCGCCGCTCTCTCCGTCCCCGCCACCGCCGTCCCCGCCACCCCCATCGCCGTCTCCGCCGCCGCCATCCCCGCCTCCGCCATCCCCACCTCCGCGTTCGCCGCCGCCGTCACCGCCACCGCCGTCCCCACCGCCGTCACCGCCACCGCCGTCGTCCCCACCGCCGTCACCACCACCGCCGTCGTCCCCACCGCCGTCACCGCCCCCGCCGCCTCCCTCGCCACCACCGCCGTCGCCACCGCCACCCTCCCAGCTAGCTCTTCTTTGCGAACCCGTCCGGTTGCCAAGGCTATCTCTCCGCCTTGCCAGAGGCTCTGATTGTGAATAGTGGAGGTCTCAAGTGGTGGCCAGAGTTATTCTCCGGTCCTCCTTCTATTGTTTATATATATCGTTCGTCGGCCTACACAGACCCTTTTGCCGCGAAACCGGGCAAGGCCGGGAACCACGGAACCACCGTTCCACGTTCCCATATGTGCGGCGAGACCCGAGGTGCGACGCTCCGAGGAGCCCTGGGTTGGTCCTGGGCTGTGGAATCCTTGTTTCGGACTTGTCACATGACACGGTCCCCGGGAGGATGCAAAAAAGGTGCAAAAAATCAGGGTGACCAGTCGCTTCCCGCGAGGAGCAAGCGCCTCTTCCCGCGATGGTCGTCGCCGCGCCAGCACTGTCCACGGCCGCCAAGCGCGCGTGCTCGTCCTCGGCTGGTTCGGAAGCACGCCTAGCGCTATGAGGCACGAGAGCGGCTACGAAGAGGACATTGACGACAGAAAGAAAATTGCCGCGGGCCTGGGGAGCTAAAGTAGATCACAAAGAAATGCGCTATACCGGGACGGCGCACAACGGGCCGCGCAGCTGTGGTCGACAGCTGGGCGGCGGACGCCTCAGCTCCCTCGTCGCTCCATCTCTAGGCCTGGACTCTCCGCCATGTGACCCATGAAGTCGGCCCCGACGACGCAGGGCTCGACGATGCGACGCGCGGCAGCCACCCTTGGGCGCGCCTTCTTCTGCAACGCCTTGGCCTCGCGGTGCATCTGCTGGAAGGCTGCAAAGACCGCGCGCCCCTCCTCCTCGGTGCCCCCCGCGGCGACGACCCACTTGCACACGTCGAGCTCCCACTCGCACGCGAGCAGCTTTCCCGAGAGGCGCGCGAAGCAGCTCGCGAAGTGGGCGTACCGGCCGCCGTCGAGCGCCTCGCACCACGCCACGACCCTGGCCGCCGGCCACCTCTCGACGTCGCTGAAGCCCGCCCGCTCCTTGTCGGCGCGGCTCGTCTCGACCATCTGCGCGGCGTACTCGAGCGTGTTGAGCGTCTGCCTCCCCTGCGAGCGAGGAGGCGCGACGTGCGCGAGGAAGCAGAGGGCCGACGGCGTCGCGCCGGCGTCGACGAAGCACGACTTGAGGACCGTCGTCAGCTTGGAGCGGCGGTACGGCACGTGGGAGTCGTCGCCGTGCCGCGCCTTGAGCAGCTGCAGCCGGATGCAATCCTTGAGGTGCCCCAGAGAGGCGTTGATCGCCTTCATCTCCTCGACCCGCTCGGCGTCCTCGGTGATCGCGGTCTGCTTGCGCTCCGAGCCAGCGAGATCGACGAGCCGCAGCGACCCACCCTCCACCTCCGCTCCCTCGCCGCCGCCCTCGCCGCCGCCCCCGCCGCCGCCCTGGCCGCCGCCCTTGGCGCGCTCGCCGCCGCCGACGACGACGACGACGCGCAGCACACAGATCGCATGGGAGCGCGACGAGCAGTCGTTTGCATTCGTCGGCGCGGTGGCGCGCGCGGCGTTGCCTGCGGCGAGGACAGCGCCGACGGCCTCGACCGACGCGGCCGCCGCCTCGTGCGCCCCGCACACGACCGTCTCTCCCGTCCCGTCGTCGCGCAGGGCCAGCTCTGCTCGCTGCTCGTGCAGCAGGTCGTAGCAGCGCTCGCCCCGCAGCTCGACGAAGGAGATGCGCAGCTCGCGGACCGACGGACCGGCGGCGGCCTCGTCAGAGAGCAGCGCAGCGGCGCACAGCCGCTGCATGGCCGTCATCGTGTGCGTCTTGCCCGAGCCGGTCGCGCCATACGCCAGCACTGTCGACGAGCCGCCGCGCAGCGCGAGAGCAACGAGCGGGGACACCGCGGCATCAAAGACGGCATTGCTGCTCGCGCCCGGCCCAAAGACCCTGTCCGGCTTGAAGACGCGCGCCGCCATCTTGCCTGTCGGCCGCCCCAACTTACGCGCCTCCGAGAGGACGTGCACCTTGCCGGAGACCTCGTCGGCAACGAGCGCATCGTACTCGAACTGAGCAAAGGAGACGGCAGTGTTGCCGGGGATGCGCTGCCCGAGCGCGACCCGCTCGCGGGCGAGCAATGACCGCACGCGGACGCACACGCTGCTCGTGCTCGGCGCTCTGGCTGGCGGCGGCGGCGAAGCTGCCGACTTGGCCAGGATAGCAGAGTGAACCGCGGCCGATTTGGCTTGCCAGTCGATGTCTGCCTCCGCCACCGCCGTCGTCGCCGCCTCCGCCTCCGCCCTTCCCGTCCGTGCAAAGTCAAGCTCAGGACGCAGGCTGACTGAATTTAGGGCCCACGAGACAGGCGGTTGATGCGGAGACCGGGGGGAGGGCTCTGGCATCGGCGAAGCCTCGCAGCCTGGGCCCGAAGACCAAGTAACACTTGGAGCGCAAGCCGCAGCGTGTTTCTTCCTCTTCGCCGTTCACGGATTTCAACAAAACTTTGGCAAATCTCTTGTGAGTTTGTGTCTTTGTGTCGCTCCAAGGTGCCGTCACCTCCTTCCCGCGTCCACCCATACCGCGCCGGTGTCCAGTCCGGGCAGCAGCCTGACTGTTGAGCACTTGAGCACTGGATAGGGTCGATTCCGCATGGTACGGGACCCCTCGATCGTCTCGCCCTCCCTCACTGGTGCGTTCATTGGGGGGGGTCATAACAAACACGGTACAGGATCGAGGTGCACGCTGCCGAAGCAGTGTCGTCCCCCCTCTCCCCGACGGCGATGGCGGTGTGACCGATCGAGCTACAAGAGGAGCTTGTTCAGCATTATCCGGGGGGGTCGAGCAGTCCCTCACTTCTCCACAATGGGTGAGCCTCAGGCCTGACTGTTCTTCACCTTGCCGGGTTCTATTTCTTATTCCTATCGTTGGGTGCGTTTCTATCTCTCGAGGTTCTCGAGGTGGTGATGCCTTTCCCTGAGAACGCACACAACGCCTCGTGTGTAATGCCCTGTGTTCCGCGAGTGCGTGTGCCCCGTCGTCCATGCTAGGACGTGTGTAACACTGACTGACTGACTTTCGATGTGGCGGAGTATATTCGGCGGGACTGAGATCGGAAAAAAAAATTTTTTAGACCTCCCTTTGTTTTCCCCATGGCCTCCCCCATCTCGATCAGGCGCTCGTCGTGCGAGACGAAGACGACGCCGGAGTCAACGCATGAGACATGGGGGCGGGTGGGAGCACTTGGAGCACTTGGAGCTAGGCGTTACTCTACTCATATGGTCATATTCACAGCTGCTCCCGCTCGAGAGCTCGCGACCTACCCGCCATCGGCCATGGCCTCCCATCGCATCGGCGCCCGCGTCTCGGGCCTCTCGCCAGCGCAGCTGTGCGCCATCATCGAGGCGCAGGCGGGCGCGAGCGACGCCGCGCTGCGCGTGGCGGAGGAGGGCCTCTCGACAGCGCAGCTGTGCGCCATCATCGAGGCGCATGCGAGCGCGAGCGCCGCCGCGCTGCGCGTGGCGGAGGAGCACGCCGCACGGCTCGTGGAGCAGCCCGAGTGGGTGCTCTCCGAAGTCCTCCTCTCGCCGGACCTCGCTCCGCACATCCTCGCCCAGCTGCCGACCAAGGAGCACGCCGTCAAGGGGACGTGCCGCGCGTGGCGTCGCGGCTGGAAGGAGACGCTGAAGAAGCGCGAGAGGCCGCGCCTGCTCGTGTTCGGCGGCCAAGACAGCAACGACAGGCTCCTCAACTCGCTGGAGCGGTACGACCCGTCCACGAATGCGTGGGAGGAGGAGGCTGTGGCGCCGATGCCGACGGCACGCTGGGGCGCGTGCATGGCGGCCATCGATGGCAAGCTCTACTCGGTGGGCGGCCAGAATTTTGCTGACGTCGCTCCTTTGAACGCGGTGGAGCGGTACGACCTGACTACGAAAGCATGGGAGGCGGTGGCGCCGATGGCAGAGGCGCGTTACGGCCACGCCGTCGCGGTGCTCGACGGCACGCTGTACGCTGTGGGCGGCTTGAACGACGACGACGGCAGCCTCAGCTCGGTGGAGCGGTACGACCCGGCGCTGGATGCGTGGGAGGCAGTGGCGCCGATGGCAGAGGTGCGGTATTTTCACGCCGTGGCGGTGCTCGACGGCAAGCTGTATGCTGCTGGCGGAGGCTCGGTGGAGCGGTACAACGCGTCTACGAATGCGTGGGAGGCGGTGGCGCCGATGGCGGAGGCGCGGAGCTATCCCGGCATGGCGGTGCTCGACGGCAAGCTGTATGCTGTGGGCGGCATAAACGATGAGGTGGGCGGCTGGCTCAGTTCAGTCGAGCGGTACGATCCGGCGCTCGATGCGTGGGAGGAGGTGGCGCCGATGGATTCGTTTCGACACAACTTCGCGGTAGCGGTGCTCGACGGCAAGCTGTACGCTGTGGGCGGCGACTCCTTCACCAAACGCTGGCTCAGATCAGTCGAGCGGTACGATCCGGCGCTGAATGCGTGGGACACGGTGGCGCCGATGGGGGCGGGGCGGATCGGTTGCATTGCCCTGTGAGCGCACAGCGGACCGCGGGAGCCTAAGATCGACACTCGAGGTGCGCTGCCCGCCGAGCGGGGAACCTCCAGCCTCCACCCCTCTCTCTCCATGGACCATGCTCGCTGCGGACTGCTCCGCTCTCTCTGACTCTGATATGATGCACCCTCGAGGCCTCGTACTGGCACACAGCCACCCGGCACACAGCCAAGAAGAAATCTCTCTCTCACAGCCACCAGCCCGCGCAGCCACGCTCGGCGTTTTCTAAGTGTCGTAAAATTCTTTCATCCGGCATCCTTCCGCCGAACGGGACGAGCGCGCCAAAATCATGAGGCGACACGGTCCTGGCGTGAGCGGCGGCGGTCGAGACCTCACCCTTCCTCTGGGCCGGCGCGGGGGCCCCAGAGGGTGTCCATGCGGGGGGGAGATGGGGTCCCCTGGCCCGCCGCAGGCGCCGATTTTTTGGATTTTTTCTTTTTTCGCGATTTTTTACTTGTTTTCATGGGAATTCGGCGTACTTGCGGCCATGCTATCACGCCTTGCGACAGCCTGTCGGCGCTGCTGACCGTGCCATGATGCACAATTGATCACCTGCATAGCTCGCGGCCTTAGTATCAAGCATTCAGTGACGACCTGATCGTACGGCCAGTAGGAAGGTGTCCTTCCAGCTGCGTGCACGCTTCTGGCGCAATGCGCGTCACCTCGGATTGGCTGCTGGCACTCTCGAGGCTATGCCTACACAGCCTCGCGCGCATGGGCAGTCAAGAGGGACCACGCACCTTCTCAGGACAGCGCCGGTGCCTCTCTCTTGGACCGGCAAACTTGGTGGTCTCGTGTCACCAATGTGGGACCAGTGCGGCATCGCGCCGATCGACAGCTCTGAACTGCGCCTCACCACTGACCGGGAAGGCCGCCAAGTGGGCCAGCACAGGTCGCACATTGTGGCAGCAGTCAGCAGTGCATGGCTGATAGCTAGAGCAGCAGCGTCAGGGTCGCAGGGTCGGATCGTGTCAAGCCTCTCGCCCGGCCGGCCGCGTGCAGACGTCGGCCTGTCTGCTGTCTGGAGTGATCTGTCGGCGGTCAGTACGACCGATCAGGTCGGAGTTTTCTGATGGTTAGAGGGTCTATCTGTATGTACTCCTCGAGATCTCTCCAAATCTGCCCTCTGTTAGACCGGGTTAGATCGGGAAGTTGGTGCTAGTAGAGACTAGTAGAGCCGGAGCCCCGTTTCCGCACTGCGGCGCGGCGCACGGTGCCTCCGGGGGGCCCCGCGCCGGCCCAGAGCACCCTTCGGGCCGACGACCCAACCTCTACCACTCGAACAACCCAACTTCGGCCCCGCTCGGACAACCCAACTCCACGGGGTGTGCCGAGGGGGGGCTGGGTGGGCGGTAAGCCGTCATTGCCCGGCGCTGCTTGCAGCGCTCTGGGTGGTAGTGGCGGCGCTCCAAGAGTGGTGCTCTTGGGAAGAGGTTCCTCCTTTCCGCTCCCCCCCCGCAAGGCGCGAGACACACACCAACCCAACCCAACACCAAACAACCCCACTCAAAGCACGATTCTCAAGTTGGGCCCTCAGACTGACCACACGGGCCGAAGCGACATTGCTAAAAATCTCTCTCTCCGAAGCGGGATTACTCGAAAAGAAAAATTTCACGAACAAGATCCTGCCAAGGCAGACGGGTTTGATTGAGACGGGTGTTAGGAGCCAAAAAGAATTTAAACAAGAACTCTCTCTCTCAGCAGACAGGGCCAAAAAGCTCCTCATCGCAAACCCTGTCAGCAGAGTCCTCCTACGGGAATGTGCGTTAGAGCAACACACACTGAAAAAGAATTCGCGCGGCGCTCGCTCGCTCGCTCGCAGGGCCGTGGAATGGCGTCCTCCTCCTCGACCGCCGCGCCGCTCGTGCGGGCTCACGCGCTCGCCGTTGCGGCCGAGGACCTGCACGACGAGGGCCGCTGGCGCGAGGCGGCGCAGAAGCTAGAAGCGGCGGCCGAGCAGTACGTTCGAGCGACCCTCACCACTTCCGACGTGGCGTCGCTGCAGTCGCTACGGCTGCTGGCGATCTCGCACTCGCAGCGCGCCCACGAGCTGCGCTGCCGCATCACGCTGTGCGACGCGCACGAGGAGGCGGCCGCGGCCGCGGCGCCGCCTCCGCCGGCGCCGCCTCCGCTCACCGCTTCGGCTGAGGCGGCCGAGGGCGGCGCAGGGAGCGGGAGCGGCGAGGGCCGCGGGAGCTTCGGCACGCACTCCGGGAGCGGCGGCGCGGCGACGAACGCCGCGCTCTCGCGGCTCGGCTCGCACCTCATGTCCACGCTCGAAGCGCTCCACTTTGGCGCTGAAGAGCTCGCGTGCGCCGAGCTGCTGCTCCCTCCGCAGTCGGCGTCGTCGTCGCGCATCTCGCTTGGCGGAGGGCTGCTCACCGACTCGTACTGCGTCGTGCCGCCCTGCAGCGGCGAGCGCTCGCCCGCGGGCGCTGCTGCCTCTGCCGGCGCCGCCGGAGGAGCGGCCGGAGGCGCGCGGAGGACAGCGGGAGCGGCAACCCTTCGGGCAAGCCGTATGGCCCAGCGCCAGCCCTCCTCGCCCGCAGGCGGGGAGCACGACGAGCGGCTGCGCGCGCAGCTCGCCGTGCTGACGGGCGAGAAGGCCGCCCTCAAGCAGCGCTGCGCCGAGATGCAGGCCGCGCTGGCAAAGGTTCAGCGGCGCGGCAGCCCGCGCCTGTGTCGAGCCTGTCTGCTGTGAGAGAGAGTTGTCTTGTTTGAAGGTGCAGCGGCGCGGCTCGGAGCAGCTCCGCCTCGCGAAGAAGGCACTAGGCCCTGGCCCTGACCCTCACCCTCACCCTCACCCTCACCCTCGCCCTCACCCTCGCCCTCACCCTCACCCTCACCCTCACCCTCACCCTCACCCTGGACCCTAGCTCACACAAACCCCACACCGGCGGATAGGCACACCTCGGGCCCTCTTGCACTCCTCCTCCCGCCTGCCCGGCTGCCTCCTCAGGCGCTCTCCGTCGTGCGCGAGGTCCACTCCGCGCCAAGGCCCGACCCTCGCGCCACCCGCCCACGTCCTTCCCCACGCCCGGTGACACGTCCGTGAACGTCCGAGACCCGTCCCGCAGGCCCGACCTCGCGCCGCCCGCCGCCGCCGAAATCAAGTCGCTGCGCGCGCAGCTCGAGGCGGCGCACGCGGCGCAGCGGCAGCAGGCGGAGGTGGTTCGCAAGTACGAGTCGCGATGGGCGCAGCTCAAGGCCTCGGCGCGGCGCAAGCAGCAGCTCAAAGACCAGCAGGCGGCCGCGGCGGCGCAGCTCGGCTCCTCGCAGGCGCAGGCGCCGCCGCAGCTCGCCGCGGCGCCGGGATCACCCTCCGGCGCCTCCGCGCCGCCGCGTCGCGCGCACTTTGGCGCGCTCGTGCACAGCTTCGCGGCGGGGTGAAAAGTTCCGGTGTGGTGTCTGAGGGGCGAGGGTGTGTCACTGAATCGCCCCAGCTGACCGAACACTCGCCTCCCAGCTGTGTCGAACTAACGTGTCGGGGCCGAGAGACCGCGGTGTGTCGTGGCTCGTGCACCATGACGCCGACCGTCCGGTGTGTGGACTCCATCCACCTATCTCAGGCGTCAGGGGACAGGGCCGGTCAGGCGGGCCGCAACACCGGAAACTACTCTGAGAAAGCAGAAGAGTCGCTTTTTCCCACAATGTGGCGAGTGTCGTGTGTCGACATATAGGACACGTGCATGGACGATGACGGAATTCTTAAAGAGATAAAAGAGCGGGAAATAGTAAATAGAGGTGATCAGGTTGTCCACACGAGGGTTGTGATGATATTGGCGACCAGCATCTGCGCGTGCGGCCGCCGACGAGCGTCGGGAAGTAGCGTGGAAAGAGATGCACGTAGATTGGCCGATCGTAACTTCTAACTAGCGCGATCAGATTCGTAAAGGCGGTGTAGAGGAACAGCCGCTGTGGCGGTCGACCGTGGATACTCCCGAGCCCTGCTCCATCCGTTGCGCGGAGAGGTCGCCGATGACGCCACGAGCAGTGGCGGCAGCGAATGTGGTCCGAAGCGGATTGGCAGCCGCCCACCACGATTTCATCTGTTTCGTGCCCCCGCTTGTAACTGTTTCGTGCGCCCGCTTGTAAAATTCTTACTGCACGGTGTCGAAACTCTCGAAACCTCCACCTTCGACTCTTTTCTACGATTGGCTCAGGCGACAGCGGCGAGTACACCCGCAAGCATACCCAGGGCATTGTGCAGCGTTGTGTCAGTCCGTGCCGAGCGTTGTGCGAGACGACCATGCTATCCAGAGCCGCAACCAGAGCCGCAGCGCGACGCTCTCGTATTGCGCAGCTCGCCAGACGTTGCTGCAGCACCTTCCAGACCTCGCACACCGGCCTGATGATGCGAGACATGACGCCGCTGCCGCCAGAGGACGCGGTGCGGCCGGCCAGAGGCGAAGAGGTGGAGGTGAACTACGTAGGCAGGCTTGAGGACGGCTCCGTCTTCGATTCGACCGAGCAGCGCGGCCCGTTTCGGTTCACCCTCGGCCGCGGCCAGGTGATCAAGGTGCGTTGAGCATTTGATGCGCCTGCCGTCGGCCTTCACACAGAAGGCCCGCGCAAATGAACCGTAGGGCTGGGACGAGGGCGTCGCGAGCATGCGCGCAGGCGGGAGGAGGGAGCTCATCATACCGCCACACCTTGGCTACGGGCCGCGAGCGATGGGGCCAATCCCGCCGAACTCCACCCTCTTCTTCGAGGTTGAGCTTCTCCGCGTCGTCCCTCCTAATGGCGGCCTTCTCGGCCGGCTCGCCACGCTCGCCAAGGCACTGCCCTTCCTAAAGTGAGCTTAGTCACAGTTCGCCCAGCTCGCCGACGCCGTCACCCGCCAGCCGTGTTGAGAGACGTGATTCCGGCGGAGGGTTTCTGCACAAAGACGAACGAGAAAGCGGACAAAAACCAAACAATTCTGTCTGAGTAGGGGAGAGACGGAGAGGAGAGTCATTGAGCCGCTTGGCACCAGCCGGGCAGTGTGGGTTTGTGGGCCCGGCGCCCGGGGCCTTCCTTGGTTTTGCCCTTCAGGGCCTTGCGCCTTGCCCTTGGCATCAGCCGGGCGTGTTGATTTGGCCTTGGCATCAGCCCTGGAAGGCGGGCACGCGGGAAATGCACACGCGCGCCAAAGGGGCGCAGCACCGACCTAACCCGTCGGAGGTGGGGGGAAGGGAGTCCCCCGGGTCCTGCGTGAGCGCGAGAGTAACCCCGGAAGAGGGCTGAAGATGAGCGGTGCGCGCAGGGGTCGGCGTGGAGGGCGAGGAACGCGCCGCGCGGGGGCGCCGCCTCACCGGCCTTCGCCAACGCCTCAAAAGTGGCGCAGAGTGAGGCGGCGCACGGCGCACCGGGCGAGCACGTGAGCCCCGTGCGCCGTGGCTCCAACCGGGCCCTTGGCTTTTTTGAGCAGGTGTGCCGCCGCGCGAGCGACGCTCCGAGATCGCCCGAGATAGCGCGGCGCGGCGGTGGGTGGGGGGGGGGGAGTGGCGTGGCGTGGAGCCCCGAGATCGCGCGAGATCGACCGAGATCGCGCGGCGCGGTCCGAGATCGCCCGAGATCGCGCGATTCTGCAGCACCGCGGCACTCGGCGAGGCGGATGGGTTGGGAGCGAGGGGGCGCAAGTGTGCAGTGCGGTAGATGGCCAGCTCGGGGCGCGTGAGCCGGACTTGTGAGCCGCTCGGCTTTCATTTCTCTCTGCGTTCTCGCACATGCGACATGGAGTGCGAGGTATCTCGTCTGTCGCCGTCCCAAACTGTCACTCCCCTTTCTCCCGGCCGGGGTGGGGCGCGCGCGGGGGCGGCGGGTGTGCGGGATGTCTGTGGGCCCGAGAGCGATATCTTGGTTTGTTTCCTAACATCGAAGGGTGCTCAAAAAACAAACAAGTACCGAAAGTGGCAACCTGCTGGCGCCTGGGCGGTGGCTGCTGCTGCATCTACCGGCCCGGTGCCAGTCGTGACGGTCGAGGCGGCGCCCTCAGTGTGATCCCTCATTCTACTAAATCGATGCCAACCGGCCAGCAGCTCGCTCTATCCGGCGCGGCACTCGCCGCGCTGACCGCCTGGACGGTTCGGCTGCGGCAGGAGAAGGGTTGGGAGGAGACGCTCGAGCGAGTCGCCAAAGGCGTCGTCGTCGTGCGAGTCAATTCGGTGATGGCCTTCGATATGAACGAGAGAGGCTTCTCGCTCGCAACCGGCTTCGTCGTGGACAAGGCGCTCGGCATCATCCTCACCAACCGCCACGTCGTGACGACCGGTCCGGTCACCGCCGACGCCGTGCTGCACAACAAGGAGGAGATCGAGCTCACTCCGCTGTACGCCGACCCGGTCCACGACTTTGGCTTCTTCAAGTACGACCCGGCCGACGTCCGCTTCATGGAGCTTCAGGAGATCCCGCTCGCCCCGTCCGAGGCTCGGGTCGGGCTCGAGGTGCGGGCGAAGAGAGGAGAGGAGAGACAGGCTCGCACCCACAGCCCCGCGCCTGCCACGCGACAGGTGCGGGTGGTCGGCAACGACGCGGGCGAGAAGATCTCCATCCTCTCGGGCACGATCGCCCGCCTCGACCGCGCCGCGCCCAACTACGGCTCGCACACGTACAACGACTTCAACACCTTTTACTTCTCGTGCGCCTCGAATACCTCGGGCGGCTCCTCGGGCTCGCCCGTGGTGAACGCCTCGGGCCGCGCCGTCGCCCTCAACGCGGGCACCAGCACCAAGTCGGCCTCCTCGTACTGCCCGCCGCGCCAGCAGCCGGGAGAGGAGCGGCCACGGTCGGCACCCGGGCCGCGCTGCGACTAGGTACTACCTGCCTCTGCAGCGGCCCGCGCGTGCCCTGGCGCTGCTGCAGAAGGCCCTGCTCGCAGGCAGGGGGGCGGGCCGCGCGTGCGTGCCCCGCGGCACGCTCGGCGTGGTGCTGCAGCACCGCGCATTCGGCGAGCTCAAGCGGCTCGGGCTGCGGCGCGAGACGGAGGCGAGGCTGCGGCTTTCTGTCGGTGCCACGTGGCGTGACACTGCGTGGACATGTCCCGGCAGGCGGGAGACGGAGGCGGCGGTGCGCGGCTCGCTGCCCGGCGAGACGGGCATGCTCGTCGTCGACCAGATAGTGCCTGCCGGGCCGGCGGAGGGCGCGCTGGAGCCGGGGAACTGTGGAGCCTGGGGACATGCACAGGAAGTGTCTAGAAGTGTCTAGGCGCGCTGGAGCCGGGGGACGTGCTCCTCTGCTTTCTCTCTCTCTCTCTTCACACCTCCCCGCTGTGAACAGGCGTGCTGGAGCCGGGGGACGTGCTCCTCGCGGCGAGCGGCAGCGACCCGGCCGGCGGCGCGCCACTGAACGGCTCGTCGCGCGCGCCCTCCTCGCGCGCCTCCGCGCCGTTCTGCACGTCCTTCCTGCGTTTGGAGGAGCTCTCCTAGACGCTTCCTAGACGCTTCCTAGACGCGGCCTAGACACTTCCTGCGGCTGGAGGAGAAGCTCGACTCGAGGCGAGGCGGTGGGGAGGCCGTCCCGTCACACGCGCAGCCTGCCTGTGGTCACTTCCTAGACACTTCCTGCCTTGTGGCCAGGAGCTGCTCGACGAGAGGCCGGGCGAGGCCGTCTGGCTTACCCTGCAGCGGGGAGGCGTCGAGAAGGCGCGAGAAGATGCTGTGCGTCTTCGGCCGCTCTGCCAAGAGCCCTCCTCCTCACGCCGCCACGCCGTGCGCAGGTGGAGCGGCTGGCTGTGCTCGACCTGCACGCGCTCTCGCCTGCGAGCGTGCTCGAGGCGGGCGGCTGCACCTTCCACTCCCTGAGCTACCAGCAGGCGCGCCACCGGAGCATGCCCCGACACTTCCTCGACCCCTTCACAGACCCTTCCTCGAGCCTGCCGTCGAGCAGGCGCGCAACTGGAACATGCCTCCGGGAGGCGTGCACGTCGCCTTCTCGGGCTACATGCTCTCGAACGCAAACGTGCCGAGCCGGGCCGTCATCTCCGAGCTCAACAACTGCAAGACGCCAGACTTGGACGCCTTCACCTCCGTCTTCCTCTCCCTGCCGCACGGCGCCCGCGTGCCGGTGCGGTACCGCCTCCCGTACTCGCACCACACCGAGCGGCTCGCCGTCCTCGACGTCGAGCGGACGTGGTTCGCTGGGGAGCGGTACGACCTCGACGCGCTCTCCTCACGCTGGACCTGCTCCACGCTGCCTCCTCCGCCGCCGCCGCCGCCTCCGGTGCCGCAGCGGGTCGCCTTCGCCGTCGCAGGCCCGCCAGAGGTGCGCGCAGTCACACCGTCCCTCGTGCGCGTGCTCTTCGACATCCCGTACCAAATCGACGGCGTGGCGGGCCTCAAGTACGCCGGGATGGGCGTCGTCGTCGACGCGGCGGTCGGTCTCGTGCTCGTCGACCGCAACACGGTGCCCGTCGCGCTCGGCGCGTGCCGCACCCGGAGTATGCACACACCCTTCCTGGACCCTTGCTGGACCCTTCCTGGAACATGCCTTCGAGCAGGCGCGTGCCGGATCGAGTTCGCCTCGACGGTCGAGGTGCCTGCCGTCACCGCCTTCCTCCACCCGACCCACAACATCGCCCTCGTGAGGTGCGGCCCGGAGGGCGGTGCTCGATGAGGTGCCAGGAAGGGTCTAGGAAGTGTCTAGGAAGTGTCTAGGTACGACCCGGCGCTGCTCTGCGGCGACAGCGTCAGATCCGCGACCCTCTCGCCCACGCCGCTCGAGGTTGGCGAGGAGTGCATGTTCGTCGGCCTGCCTCGCCAAGACGCGGCGCTGCCCGTCTTCCAGCAGAGCGTCGTCCGCGAGACGTGCGTGATGGAGGCGCGCGACGCCTCCCCGTCCCCTCCTAGTCACTTCCTGTCACAGACACTGTCTAGACACTTCCTAGACACTTCCCGTCACCTCCTAGTCACTTCCTGTCACCAGACACTGTCTAGACACTTCCTACGGGCGGAAGCGCGGCATCGCGTCCGTGCCTCCTAGACACTTCCTAGACACTTCCTAGACACTTCCTAGACACTTCCTAGACACTTCCTAGACACTTTCTAGGTCGGCATCGCGTCCGTGCCTCGCTTCCGCGCGGTCAACGAGGAGGTGATCCGGTTCGACGTCGGCCTCGCGCTCGAGGACACCGCCCCTAGAAGCGGAAGACGTGCTCTTGTCTCCCAACCAGCGCTCGCGAGGACACGGACTCCGCTGTCTTCGACCGTCTCCCGCCGTATTCACTGCATTCGCACCCCTCGTACTCACGCGGTGCTCTGAAGACACGGCACAGTGCCGTCCACCCTGAGGTGTCTTCAGCACGTAGGACACCGTCGGAGGAGTCTTCGTCGACGAGAGCGGCGAGGTGAAGGCCTTTTGGGGCGCGTACTGCTGCTGCCACGAGGACGAGCTCTACGAGCAGTTCGAGGGCGTGCCGGCCCAGCCGCTCCTACCGATCCTCGCCGCTTGCTCCGAGGTCGCGGAGGCGGCGCGGCAGAAGCGCGGCCCGCCGGGCGGCGACGACACGGGCGAGGGCCGGCCGCTCGGCGCGCCGCCGCCGCTGAGCGGCCTGTACTTGCTCGACGCGGAGCTGCGCCCCGTCTCTCTGAGTGTGGCGTGCGGCTCGGTGGCCGGCTCGGGGCTTGGCCTGAGCCGCGCGTGGGCGGAGCGGCTCGTCGCGTGCGAGCAAGAGAAGAGGCAGGTGCTGTCGGTGCAGCGGCTCATCCCGGGGACGCCGGCGCACGGGCAGCTGCTCGAGGGCGACCTGATCCTCGCCGTGGACGGAGTGCCCGTCAACACGTTTCCCGCCGTCGAGGCGGCCGTGCTCCGCTCGCCGCGCGTCCAGCTCACCGTCTTGCGCGACGGCGGGGAGAGGGCTGTGGACGTCTCGACGAGCGAGGCGCGCGAAGACGCGCAGCCTCGTGCACGCATGCATCCCGCGCTCCCCTCCTCCGCCAGTGTGTGTCCGCCGCTACCGCCCCCCTCTCCGCCGCGCGCAGGTCCGCTCAGACGGGACGACTCACATCACCGTCTGGTGCGGCCTCCTCCTCCAGCACGCGTACCTAGACACTCCCTAGACACTTCCTAGACACTTCCTAGGTGCGGCCTCATCCTGCAGCACGCGTACCGGGCCGTCCTCGAGCGCGGCTACTCGCCGCCGGGCGGCGGCGTCTACATCTCGTACTACCTCTACGGCTCGCCGGCCCAAAAGTACAAGCTCGTGCCCAAGAACTGGATCGTCGAGCTCAACGGCTCGCCCGTCGCCGACCTAGCCGGCTTCGTCGAGCTGGTGCGCGAGCTGCCGCACGGGGCAAACGTCCGCGTCAAGCTGGTCGATCTGAATGGAAAGACGTCCGCCTTCTCCCTCAAGACCGACCACAACTACTGGAGGGGGTACGCGGTGCACCTCGCCGGAGAGCAGTGGGTGCTGCGCGCGCTCAACGAGCCGCCCGCGGCGAGCTGAGCGAGCGCGGCGCGCCGCCCACATTCGTTCTCGAGTACGATCGCCCACGGCCTTCACGGCCTCTCCCCGCACTGAATTTAAAGCCCCGGCGGTCACCTTCATCAGCATGTCTCGCGGGTGTTTTTGCAAAGTGTCTAACTCCACTACTCTCGTACGGACTCGCTAGAGTCGTAGCCGGATTCGATTTCTGCGAATGTTGTCTTAGAGCGGCCCTCCGAGCGAGCGCGGGCATTGAATCCGGGGGGCACGATTGGCCACATGCGCTGTCAGTGAAACCCCCACTCTCTAGATCTACGCGAGGAGGCCCTCGGAGAGCTCCCACAGCTTCGCCGCCTTGGCCGCGTCGCGTGCCTCGGCCGAGGGCGCATGCTTGCCGAGCGAGTGCTTGCCTGTCAACAAACCATACACGATTGCTGACGAGTGTTCGTTGATGAGCCTGCCAAGCAAATGTGAGTGCTGTGCTTGCCGAGCGGCAGCGCGTCGTACCAGCCGCCCGTCTGCCCGTCCATGGCGGGGTCTACCGCGAGGTAGGCGAGGGCGGAGCCCGCAAAGTCGTTCGTCTCCGCGACGCCGACCGCCTTGGAGATGCCGCTGAAGACGGAGCCGAACAGCCTGTTCTGGTTGCGGAAGAATCCGTCTGGGTCGGCGATCAGCCCGGGAGAGAAGGCGTTTGCCTAATCTCGCGGGTAACCTCGGCTCACCTCGTGCAATCTCCGGTGGCCTGTCCCCGGCCACGAGGCGCTTGCCGTGATGCCGCCGCTCCCCCACCGCCGCGCCGCCTCGGCCATGAAGAGCATGTTGCACAGCTTGGAGTCCTTGTACGCCTTGTCGGGGTCGTACGTCCCTCCGTCGACCATTGTGAACGCCCTCCCGCCCGCAAGTCCCTTGAGCTCGCCGAGGCTCGCCCACTTCTCGGGGCCGCCCTGTCTGCCCCCGCCGCTGGCCGGGTCGTGCACCCCCGACGCCGTCACGAGCAGCCGCGGCTGGAGCGAGCTCTTCGAGAGCGTCGGCTGCAACAGAGTCGCGAGGGCAAAGTGGCCGATGTGGTTCGTGCCGACCGTGAGCTCGTACCCGTCCGCGGTGAACTGCTCGGCAGGATCGCCCACGTTCAGGCTTAGCCCCGCGTTGAGCACGAGCGTGTCGAGCGGCTCACCCTTCCTCGAGGCGGCGAAGGCGCGCACCTACAGGAAGGTTCCGAGAAGGTTCAGGGAAGGCGCAGCCTTCCTCGAGGCGGCGAAGGCGCGCACCGAGCTCAGGCTCGACAGGTCGCACGCGGCGCCAACAGCGCTGCCGCCCGCCCTCCGCGCCGCGTAAAAGTCGGGCATGCCCGCCGGGCCAGCGGCCGAGAGACCCGCCGCGTACTCCATGCATGCCGTCGCCGCCGCGTCCGCCTTGGCCTGCGTGCGGCACGCGAGCGTCACCTTGTGCCCCGCCGCCGTCAGCAGCTTGGCGCCTGCGAGGCCGACGCCCGAGGAGGCGCCTGCGCGGGTCGTGGACGCGTCACGTTACAGGAGGCGTGGAGGCGTGCCATAGTGGGAGATTGACCGATCGGCAGGCTTGAAGCGTGTCACAGGAGGCGTCTCGGAAGTGTCTTGGCGCGCCGGTGACGGTGACGTGGCGCACGGGCGCGCTCGTCAGGCCGGCGAGTAGTGTCTGCTGTGGGATGACCAGCTCGCACGCTGCGCCGTCCGTCTCGCACTGGTCGGCGGCAGCGGAGAGCGGTGGCAGGGCGATCAGCGCAGCCGCAGTCTGCAGGTGCTGCCGACGCGAGACGAGCCGAGCCCTGGCGTGCGACGAGGATTTGGTGCTTGGAGCGTTGAGCGAAAGGGCCAGTAGATGGAGCAGGGACATTCTCTGGACACCACCGGCAACGCGGGTGAGGAAGTTCTGCTGCCATGAACTGTATCGTCGTCGTCGTCTCTAGCCAGTCACTCTAACTCTCAGAGATGGGCTAAAGAGGATCCGGAGCGCGGTAAGACTCTGGGGCTCTCTCCGAAGGGAGCGTAGCGTACGCGGAGGGAGCTCAGAGTTACCCCCCGTTCTCTGGAACCTCTTGGAGCAAGAGGAACTCGCACGAGAGACGAATGCGATTCGATCGGGCGGTAGATGAGGGATGGTGGTGGGTCGCTTGAGAACTGGTCGATTGGCGTCTGTCTGAGCAGGAGCCGACGCTAGTCGGGAGCTGTGTCAGGAGCCTCGTGGCGCTCGGAGGTCCCGCGCACAAAGCGGCGGGCAGCGGCGGGCGCGGGGGTAAGGGTTCCCGCCCGCTAGGCGCTGCCCTCTGCGCCGAGGCTCGACCCGCTTCTCCTCAGTTCACTAGCACAAACTGAAGTTTGTTTATCATGAACTGTATCGTCGTCGTCGTCTCTAGCCAGTCACTCTAACTCTCAGAGATGGGCTAAAGAGGATCCGGAGCGCGGTAAGACTCTGGGGCTCTCTCCGAAGGGAGCGTAGCGTACGCGGAGGGAGCTCAGAGTTACCCAAACCGGAGCGAGGGAAGGAGCGATCCCGGGGTGAGCGACTCCAAGCGTAGCGCAGCGCGTGAAGGATCCCCAAATTGAGTGAGTGACGGTCCTATTCGGTCTCGCCCTCCGAGCTCGGGGATGGGGCGGCTCAGTGCGCGAAGCGGCACTGGTCCCCCTGCCTGCAATAGCCGGCAGCGAAGAAGCGGCACCGGGGGACTCCGGTCTGCTCGCTCGTGGAGTCGTCGCGACCCGATTTTTGAGGGCCATGAAATTTAAGGTGTTGCTGCGCAAAAAGGGCGGGGCGCGGGCGCGCGCGGCAATGGTGAGCAGTGTGGCCCACCCAGGGTAGAGGGTACCCTCTCCGAGGAATTGGGTTCTGCTGCTCTAAGACCTCGAGAGCGTGCGTGTGCCTCTACTCGCTCGCTGGCTGTGTCAGTCAGTCAGCTTTTCCCACCCACAGATGGAAGTACCTCGTGTGGGTGTGTGTGTGTGGGGGGGGGGGGGGGCATCTGTTAACAAAATCCGAGCGGACGACTGGCCCGCAATACGTGGCTTGTGCTCGACTTCGGGCTGCATCCGGCCAAACCAAAGAAGGCACGAGGCTGCGTCGCGGACGCGGCAAACCGCCAAGTTTTGGGACGCTCGCACCGACCTCGGCCATTTTAATGCTCTCCTACCTGCAGTTGCTGCTCGCACAGGGCCCGCCGCCCCTCTCTTGCGCGGACGGATCTCAGCCACTCTGTGCTGACGGCTCGTCGCCAGTTGGGATGCCACCATGTCCTAATAACATTGAATCACCGCACCCGGCTTGCGCGGATGGCACGCCGCCCACTTTTGGGAATGGGGGTGGCGGCCGCCCTCCAGGAAAGGGTAAAGGCGTCGGTGGGGGTGGCGGGGTTGGAGGTGGTGGCGTCGGTGGCGGTGGAGGTGGAGGCGGTGGCGACTGCAGCTCTCCCCCTTGCGCTACGCCGCTCCTCGGGACGATCGGCAGGACCACGGCGACGGGCTGTGATCCGGTGTCCGGCGCATGCTTTGAGGTGAACGAGGACATTTACGGCCCCTTTGAGGCGGGCTTTGGCTCGCAGCAAGACGGCATCCTCGCGGGACTCGGCTGCAACCCGGGCAGCCTAGGGCACGTCCAAGGTGGCATCGACACCAGGACCGCCGAGGCCATGGTCTCCTGGCAGTGCAAGATCGAGCTGCCCCGCTTTGAGCAGGGCGGCCGATACGTCTCGCTCCTCGACACCTGCGGCGGCCACACGCGTGAGTATCACTTCCATGAGCGGCTGTCGTGCCTGTACAACGAGAGCGACTTGGGCGATGGGCTCGGTTCTGCCGTCGGCGTCATGAACGACGGAAAGCTTCTGTTCGGACGCATCGCCGGCCCAAACGTGCCCTCGTACGAGGGACCCGCCGGAGAGAGGCTCCCCTTCCTCGACGCCTGCGGCGGAGCCTTTGACCGCGACGGCCTAAACTACCACTATCACGTCCAGGTGCGGCCGCCCTTCACGGTGGGATGCTTTGGGCCGGCTCTCGACGACAACGGCGCTGAGCGACCCGTTACCCTCGCCGAGTGCCGCGCCCTCTACTCTGGCTGCGCCGCGGCGCCGACGACGGTGGTTACCGCTTCAGGGGCAGCCGACTATGCCCTCTGGTGTCCCTGCTACGATGGAGCCGGGAGCAACGTCGGCAAAAGTCCGCTTCGCGCCTTTGCAACCACACCGCCATATCCAAGCCCCCCGCCTTGGTTCGCCCCGCTGCCAGCGTGCGACTCGGATCGGCCGGGCTGGGCCTCTCATCGCACGCTGGTCGTCTCGCTCGCTGCGCGTGGCGGCACCAGCGAAGGTGAGGTGGTGGCCTGGACGCAGAAGCTCTGCTGCGTGTATACGCACGTAGAAGTGGCTCAGCGCGCAACCAGCCAGATGACCAACTTCGACGGCTCAACCATCGTCTATGATGGCGCGAGCTTCGAGGAGGTGGCTGCGGCGGCGTACGACGACATTTGCGACATGCCCATGGGTAGCACTGACTGTGCTAGCTGCTGGCCGTCTTCGCCGCCGCCCTTGCCACCGCCGTCGCCGGTGCCATGGGAGGAGTGTTCCGACGCGGAACTTGGAGGCGACTTCAACGGCGTCAACAACTTCACGATCAGCGATGCGCTGTACGTGGCGCAAATGTGGTCAGGTAAGGCCCCGCGCACGGCTTGCATGGGCGGCGATTTGAACGGGTCCGGAAGTTTCACGATCGCGGACGCGGTTTTGGTGGCCATGGTGTACACGCTCGCGGCGAGGGAGTTCGTGGAGGTGTGACAGCGTCTCTTCACACCTATTGCTGTGAACAGGTGTGGGCGGGGAAAGCGCGCTTCTCGTGGCGGAGCGGCAGCGCTGACGGCGCTAGGGACCCGGATGGCATGATCGTGATCGTGAAGCCGCCGGTCGAGCCGGTCGGGCCGCCGGGCTGCTGCCGCGCGATGACAGCGGAGTGCTTGTCTTGTGTCGAGGGGATGGGGGAGGATGAGTACTGCGCCAAGAATCCGCAGACAATCGGGTGCCACAAGACGCGTCGCTAGCTCTGCGGACGCCAGAGAGTGCTGAAGTTCAACTTGCCAGTGCCAAGAATCCGCAGTTCCGCGCCGCACGGCGCACGGGCGCACGCAGACAGCAATTGGGTGCAAGACGCGTCACAGCTCTAGCTCTGCGGACGCCGGAGAGTGCTCTCAAGTTCAATTTGCGTGAAAAAGAGACTACGAAATAAACTGTGAAATGTGAGATCCACAAGGATACACACAGCATACTGCAATACCTATCCTCATAACCTCATATGGCTGCCTGCCAGGAGTCAGACGCAGCGCGCGCGGTTTCAACAGCAGCGTGAAGCTCCAGTCCACGCTCCCTGCAAAACAACCGAGGTCTCATGTGCGCCCGCGCTCCTTCGCGTCCTTGGCCGCGGAGTGAATGTACCCGCTCACGCGAGCCCTGTTCACCGAGTCAGCGGAGCCCCCGCGGACGACGTGGCTTTTCATAAAGTCTTTGTTGGCGACGAGCTTGCGCTGAGCCGCACTCAGCTCCCTCTCCTCCCTCGCCTGCCTGTCTCGCAAAATCTGCGCGTCGAACTTGGCCTTGTGCGCCGCCTTGCTCAGCGCCTGGATCTCTTGCGCCCGCCCTGCGTTCAGCTCCTGCGGGCGCGGGCCCAGCCCGGAAGGGTCCCCGGCTGCTCGCGCGCCGCCGCGGACCGCCCTCGCCCGAATGAGCTCCTTGACCGCCTCATCAACCGCCCCCTCCTCGTCAGAGTCAGAGTCTGACTCCTCGCGGCTCTTTCCGGATCGGCGCGGGCTAGCGCGCGCGGCGGCCCTTGACCCGCCGCCACCGCCGCCGCCACCGCCGCCGCCGCCACCGCCGCCACCGCCGCCGCCGCCACCGCCGCCGCCGCCGCGAAGCACCTCATCGATCGCTCGCTGCAGCCGCTCGAGCTGCCCCGCCGTCCTCTCCTCGTCGTCGCGCCTGAAGCCGTCGACGACGGCAAAGACGAGCTGCTCGGCCGCGCCCTTGTGCGCGCGCAGCTCGAAACCGCTCAGCTTGACCCGCCGCTCGCACACGTCGAGCCGCATCGACGCCGACGGCGCGCCGCGAAACGGCTTCAGCTGCGCCGGGACGAGCTTGGCGAGGACGAGGCCGTGCCGCCGGCTCGCCTGCAAACAAGACGGACTCTGGTCGTGGCGGACCGTGCCGCCGCCGTCGTCGGGCTCTCAAGGGCCACGTCAGCGCGCCTCGCTCAGCCGCACCAACGCCGGCAGCAGACCTACAGGGCTAGGAACCGTCTAGGAACCGTCTAGCGACCTTCTTGGGACCAGCGCCGGCAGCAGACCGTCGAGGTGCGTGCTATGGTTGCACACGATGTTGCGCGGCAGCTGCGCGCCCCAACGCCCGTCGCCCGTCCCTCGCGAGGCGCCCGCCGCCGCTGGCCTCGGCGCGGCGCACGGCGCGGGCGGAGGAGAGGCGACGGGGCTGCTGCGACCGTTGCACGCCGTGGCGGGGCCGTGCAAGTCTCGCACCAGCCGCCTTGCCTCCTCGCAGACGGCGACCAGCGCCTGCTCGCAGCTGGAGGGGTGAAGAGGCGCAACTCACAGCGCCTCGTCTCGCCGCAAGAGGGCGAGGCGCGCCTCGACGCCACGCTCCTGCCCATCGAGCCACGTGCGGAGGGCAGAGTGGAGGGAGGCCATCGGGGCGGCGTCGATCGTCTGCGTCATGAAGACGTGCCACCACTCAGGGCGGGGGATTGCGTTGCGGTGATGTGCGGTACTCAGGGCGGGGGATTGCGTTGCGGTGATGTGCGGTGTACACGGAGCGCTGTGTGAATACGAGGAAGCCGAAGACACGAATACCGCCGAAGATGCGGTTGAATACGGTCGAATGCGTGACCTCTCGAGCGCGGGTTGGGACCCTCGAACACTTGCACGCACACGTGTTCCGCTTCTAAGGTCGAGCGCCGGGCACGAGACGCATCGCAGCTCGACGCCCCTCTTGAGCGGGTACCCCTCGGGCAGCTCGAGCTGCGGGGAGAAATGGGGAGATATGGGGAGATATCATGAGCGGGTACCCCTCGGGCAGCTCGAGCTGCGGCGGCCAGGGAGGGTGCGTTGCACACTCACTCCTTCCCGCGAGCGCGGGAAGGGAGGGCCGCAGGCGGGCTAGGAGAGAGGGAGGGCGT